AAAAAAAAAAAAAAAAAAAAAAAAAACGGTTTAAGCATACACTTCGAATAAAAAAAAAAACCGGTTTAGCATCAACCATTAATTCTCGGGAGTATAAAAAAAACCGAGTAAACGAGAAAACGACAGGGTAAAGCTAAAAAGAAGCCATTAAAGCTCAATCTTCAAGTTTCTTCATAAACCATTCTTCAAAATGTCCCTAATAACCTTCTCAAAGGAAGTTAGAAGATGTCAAACCTTACAGAAAACAGAGGTCATTTGTGTACTTTGGCTGTATGATCAAAGGAATTCATCAACAATCAAGTTCCTCAGAAATGGAAAGAAGAAGAATCAACTCTGTACTTATTCCTCATATTGTACTGCCCGAACATCGGCTCATTATAATCCATGCTCGTCTCTGCAGGTTTCGGTTCGACCCCAACTCCGCTTGCTAAGAATTCCGATCCTTTTTCCTTTTGTCGATGTCTCGATCGATCCTTCTGGCCCTTGGATCGGCTATGGGACGAAGAAACCATGCCTGTCCCGTAAAACTCGGCCCCGTGCTTGTTTAAGAGAGACGGGTTGTTCTTGAAACTACTTGACTTCACTTTTGGTGGCTTCATTTTATCATGTTTGAGTGAGGCATGCTTGGTTTCAGAGAGAGGAGTGACAGTGCTTTGTTTTAAGGTCACATTGGTCTTGGTTTCATCTTCTGGCATCTTGAGAGTATCTTTCAAAGGTGTCAGGCCTTTCTTCTGGTATGAAGGAAGGAAGGATTTGAGGTTGCTCGGTACTGACTCGAGCGCCTGCTTGTAAAGCTCGGTAAAGACCTGTCGGAAAGACTCCCACCATGTTTCTTCTTTTATTGTACTTACGAGCGGAGTGTGTTTTCCCTTGCTCGGCTCTTTCGTTTCGGACTCCGAGCGTTCACTCGGTACCTATGCATACACTTTGAATCAGTTGGCTAAACAATGTTTTGAATTCTCATAGACAAACGCAAATAACTACCCAACTATGAACAAAACCGGAGATTTCGAAAGGTGGTGACGGGGAGAGGCATCAGATGCACACGGAATTGATCAGCATTGAATCTTGAAACGGAGTACCGGTTTAAGCGGGAAAAGGGAGATATATGAACTTACAATAAAAGAGAAGAACGACAGCCCGAATCCATGTTGAAGCATATATGTAACGTATCCTATGAGAAGAGAGCCAACGAACATCGCAACGTCTGCAAAAGGTTTATCAGTGAGAAAGGAGTAGCCCAAAATAAGAGCTAACACTGTCGTTGAATTGCTCGATTTTAAGCAGCTGTTGATAAAACTATTGCCCAAGTTATTCGAGTTCATTTATCAGGACTAACGGCTGTGCTATTAGTACATCGATGTTGAATATCGAACGATATAACACAAGTTACATAACATGATCAAACAAGTTCAAACCTGAGGTAGAAACGGAACCGTACTGATAATCGCAATCCTCTTTGTTTAGAGTGATTTGGCGAAGTGCAGCGTTGCCTCTATCGACAACCAACAACGAACAGGTACGCCTGACATATATGACATCAAAATCGTTCGAAAACTTCGCTTCCTCACCGGGCCCATCGCTATATCCTGGAACATTTGTCTTGCCTCCTGCAATTGTTGTCACGCCTGCAAAATAACTTTTGACTTGAGAATGTTCTATTGGTCCAAATATACTACCTAAGACTTCCACATTCAAGGTCATTTATGCCCACTTTGAATTCACAAAGCTTTCCACGTCTCAAGAAAGCACGGAGGATGCAAATTCACTTGAAGTGAAAAAACTTGTAACGGCCCAAGCCTACCACTAACAGATATTGTCCTCTTTGGGTTTTTCCTTTCGGGCTTCCTTTCAAGGTTTTTAAAACACGTGTACTAACGAGAGGTTTCCATACCCCTTGTAAAGAATGCTTCGTTCTCCTCCCCAACTTATGTGGGATCTCTCGATCCACCCCTCTTCAGGGCCCAGCGTCCTCACTGACACTCGTTCCCTTCTCCAATCGATGTGAGACCTCCCTAATCTACTCCTTTGGGGTCCAGCGTCCTTGTTGGCACACCGCCTCGTGTCTACCCCCCTTCGAGACTTAGCCTCCTCACTGGCACATCGCCCGATGTCTGGCTTTGATACCATTGATAATAGCTCAAGCTCACCGCTAGTAGATATTGTCCTCCTTGGGTTTTCCCTTTCGGGCTTCCCTTCAAGGTTTTTAAAACGCGTCTGCTAGGAAGAGGTTTCCACACCCTTATAAAGAATGTTTCGTTCTCCTCCCCAACCGATGTGGGATCTCACAATCCACCCCCTTCGAGGCCCAGCGTCCTCACTGGCACTTATTCCCTTCTTCAATCGATGTGGGACCCTCCAATCCACCCCCTTTGCGACCTGGCGTCCTTGTTGGCACACCACCTCGTGTCCACCCCCCTTCGAAACTTAGGCTCCTCGCTAGCACATCGCCCCGTGTCTGGCTTTGATATCATTTGTAACAGCTCAAGCCCACCGTTAGCAGATATTGTCCTCCTTGGACTTTTCCTTTCGGGCTTCCCTTCAAGGTTTCTGCTAGGGATAGCCAATATAGGATCTCACGATTCTTCATTAGAGAGTTCTTATTTACATTTACACTGGGATAGAAAAGACTAATGGTAGGTACCAGCATCAACAATCTTTCTGATGGCAAGGTTCAAAGTATCAGCAACATACACATTTCCTTTGTCATCCATCGTCACGCCTTTCGGCTGATTGAACCGAGCATCGCTTGGTTTCCCATCAACATGCCCTTTGTAGCCCTGGAAAGACCCGGCAACCAATCTCGCTCGACTATCTGAAAAGGCGATTGTTTCTAGACAATTATTACAAACACCCAATAAGTAAACAACATTCCATGACATATGAAGAACTTTAGTAGTGACCAAGAACAGAAACCAAGCTACGCATGTTACAGCAGCTAACAAAAGAAGTCCACATTTCATGAATGAAGAACAGAGAAACGAGCATACATCGAGACAACGGCGGAGAAACCTTGACGACATTGCTATTAACCGAATCGACAGCAAAGAGTTCTCCATCCTCGGAGACGCGAATCTTGTAAGGAACCATTCCAATTTCATTTCCCTCAACAATAGTCTCTACTAAGTAGCCACTCTCAAACTGAAGAGCCTTCCCATCTGCAAGAACCAACCCTCTTCTCATCAAAACATGATCAGATTGCAGCTAAAACATACGAACATCATGAACAAACATAACACAACAAACTCAAATAGCCACTACAAAATAACCTGGTTGAGGAGTTTTGGACGAAGAACCAGTCCATTTAAGAACAGAAGACAACTGCCTTGCCAATAGTCCTGAGATTAACAGCATGATAAGAATCACAAAGGGGTTCATCAAGTCGAAATTCACGAGAACAAACAATAAATGGAGGATCCTAGATAAACCTTGACCAAAATTTCTAGTTGAAATTCAAGCTCGCGGTATAATATTATCTACTTTGAGTATAAACTCACGTGGTTTTGCTTTGAGCTTCTCCAAAAGGCCTCGTACTAATGGAGATGTATTCCTTACTGATAAACTCATTATCATTCCCAAATTACAGACTCCCTCCCAACAATCCTCCCCTCGAACAAAGTACATTATAAAAGCCTTCTTCGATACCTATGAAACCCTCGAACAACCTCTACCCTTAATGGAGGCTCACAACTTCTTTATTCGATATTTGAAGATTCTATTAAAATGGCTAAGTTAAGGGCATGGTTATGATACCATGTTACAAATAACGAACCTCCCAACAACCCTCACTCGTAATAGATAACAAATTTCGTGAACAAGAGCACATCTCAGTGAAATCAACCATCAACCCACAAGAGTAAGAAGCGATTAAAGGGCAATACAAGAAGAACCCACTTACCAGAAGGAGCAGAATGAGCTTGAAAACTAACGATTGGAACAATGAAAGCGAGGAAGAGAAAGGGATTTCTCATGGCTCCCTGAACAAGAGATTTGCAGCAGAGCAAGGATTCAGAAATCAACGGTGAATTTTTGAAGTTGGGTCGAATTTGAAAAGGGGATTGAGGGTTTGATTCGAAGTGGGAAATGGGTATGGTTTGATTTTGGTTCGCAATCTGTGCGTGTGCGATTCAGAGAGGCATCTTGTTCTTGTGCTCGCGTCCCAGTCCCACTTTTTATGGTAATGTTGTGCTTCTCGCTCTCTTGGTTTGCTAATGGCGGACCTGTGGCTTGAGCTTGGGATTTCGAGGATGGATTAGTGCTCAAATACAAACATTCTGCGCAAAGAAAGATTAAAAATATTGGGAATCTTCTAAAAGTTTAATTTTTAATGACTGTTCTTTAGATTAAAACTTCTTTTCAGTCCAAACTTTATTTCCAAAAATACTTTCGTGATTGTTCTTTTTTAAATATTTATTAGAAAACTTTAACTTTTTACTCTGAAACTTTCGTTAGTCTCATCAAATTTGATTCTAATCTTAATTAAATGTCACTAATCTATTTAATTTATGTTAAATGTTTATTCATGAACGGGAAAATATTCCCTAATTTTGAGCGTGACTTCAACATGACATACACTGAATTAGTTCGTTCTCTTTCATGATATTTTTATTTCTATCGGCTCTCGAGTCCAGTAATCAATGTTATCACCTATTACACAGTGACTATGTTTCAGTTCATAAAACTAAGTTAACTATCTAACATCGTATCTCACATCATATAATAGTTAACTAAGCACGAATTCTCGACAAATCTCTAACTTTTAACAGATCAATTGAGTCATGTTTGAATTGACTATAGTAAACGCGGAAGACGGTTACATGGCTAGCATCAATTATTGAGAGGTCTAGTCTTGTGATGTCCACATTGGTTAGGGAGGAGAACAAACCACTATTTATAAGGGTGTGGAAACCTTGTCCTAGCAGACGGGTTTTAAAGTCTTGAGGGGAAGCTCGAAAAGGAAAGTCCAAAGAGGACAATATCTGCTAGCGGTGGATCTAGGTTGTTACAAGTTTAGGCCCTATTTTGATATAAAGGTGTGTGGGCACAACTTTCGTTTATGTGTGTGCCTCTTTCAGCTTTGTTCCTATGATGCTTGGTCTGTGAACTAAAAAACAATCCAAAAAACAAGACATGGAGATTTAAAGGAAGACAAGAACAACACAAGCAAGCACATAAAAAGGGAACAAATATCTAAAAATATAATTCTTCCTAACCCTATCCATCTAATTACTTCCATGTGCCTCCATTTAATTTTCGTATAAATATTTGCTTGATTTTACGATATATTTTTGCTATATTTATGTATATTTAACTCGGACAAATAAATTAATAGTATTTTTTTATTGTTAAATTTGTAAGGCTAAATTAATAAAAATAATATTATTTTGAAACTTTCAAAATTAATTAAAAAGTTTGGATATAATTTATAAATTTTTTAATAGAAGTAAATGATGTTAATACTAATTTTAAAATTTATTAGTTTTTAAAATATAAAAGTGTATCTGAGAAATAATGAAATTTTTTAAATTTAAGGATATTTTAAAAATATTATTAAAATTCGCAAAAATAAAATATTAATGGCAAAAATATTTTTGAAATAAAATACACGGTCGAACATGTGAGAGAAAATTAGAAAATTTAATAATTTCGAAGAAAGAAAAAGACAAAAAAGTGACACGTAGGTTTAAAAAAATACGTTTTATTAACCTTAAGTTTTTAACAGGTCAATAAAAAAATTGCATGCAAGAAACGGTCCAATGAGTGTAAAATGCCACGTCAGTGAAATTATATGGAAAAGTTGGAAAAAGAATTAGGGCTGAAATGGGCCCCACTTCGCCAGTTGTCATCTGACGTATCCGCTCACACCATTTTTACGTTCTAATTGTTTACACTCAATCACCCCTCCTCTCATTGGGACCATCACCTTTCCTTATATACCCTCTCTTCCAAATCCCTCCCACTTCAAAACTTATCCCCCGATCTTCCCAAATTACCCCTTCCTCTCCTTCATTTATTTAATATTTTCAAATTTCATAAATTTGTGGGACAAAAATTCAAATTATCCCTTTAATATAAAGATACATTAATTTTAAAAATGTTGAATATTTCACAAATTCAATACATACAGAAATAAATAAATAAATATTTTATTATTATTCTTCGTATCTATGACCTAATAACCTAACTATCTATAGTTCACAGATCGACATTTTTTTAGGAGAACAAACTACCATTTATAAAAGCGTGGAAGCCTTCCTCTAGCAGACGTGTTTTGAATCCTTGAGGGGAAGCCCGAAAGAAAAATTCCATAGAGGACAATATCTGCTAGCGGTGGATCTGAGGCGTTACAAATGGTATCAGAGCTAGACACCGAACAATGTGCCATCCTTCTCGCTGTTCCCTGAAGGAGTGTAGACATGAGACGGTGTGCCAATAAGGACGTTGGGCCCTAGAGGAAGGTGGATTTGGGGGCGGTCCCACATCAATTGAAGGAATGAAAGAGTGCCCGCGAAAACACTGGCCCCAAAAGGGAGTAGACTGTGATGTCCCACATTGGTTGGGAAGAAGAACAAATCACTATTTATAAGGGTGTAGAAATTTTCTCCTAGTATACGCGTTTTAAAGCCTCTAGAGGAACCCCGAAAGGTAAAACCCAAAAAAGACATATCTGTTAGCAGTGGATCTAGGACATTACATAACCTAACAAACACAATTTGAATATAACATGTTTTGTGTTTTTAAAGTAATAATGACCGGACAACCCAATTTGAACTAAATTTGTAATTCAATACCTATATTTTAAAAATAAAATTATGGTAATAACTAAAAAAAGTCGGGGGTATTTTCGTCTCACAAAACCCCGGAAGTATGGTCTTCGTAGCCTTGGTGTAGCCCGTCTTTTCACCTCCAAAACCATGCCCTTTTTCGTCTTTTCACCTGTTTCTCCCTCCAATCGTCCCTGTATTTCTCTGTCCCTTCCCTCCCATTCCTCTCTCCTTCACTCTGATTCTCTCTCTCATTGCCATTTCTTTTTCCCTCTCTAGAATTTTGGTTCTTCGAAGCGGCGCGACAGAGATAAGACACTCCATTCAACGATCTCGAGTTTTCAGGAGACGTGTTTTTTGAGCTCCGAAGACAGTAGAAAAAGCTAAAGCACTTTGAAGACAGCAAAGAACGGTTACTTCCACTGGATTTTACCCTCATTGGCGTTTCAGCTCGTCTCAAGTTTCTTCATGAGGTCAATGCCGCGTTTTCTTTCCTTGTATTCTTGCTATTCGTTGCTCTTTCGATGTTTTACGTGTTTATTTGAATGGTGGAAAGGCCATTCTCGAGTGTAGTCTAGCATTTCATTCATTATATATGGAAAATGCAGAGATGTGGCAATGTCTAAATCTCTTGTTGCAAATGTTATGAACGGTCGTATGCTAGTTTCATTTTCATCGCCTTTTCCTGCTATGATTATTCTCTGTTTGTGTAGTTTTTACGCGGATTTGAAATAGAAACGGAAAATCTTTGTGTGTTTGGCTCTGTTTTGAATTTTTCTTTTGTTTTTCATACTGCAGAGTGAACGGGTCGCCGAGGTCTACTTAAGTGTGTTTCTCACGGCGTCTTGTAGCTCCGTTTCCTTGAGATTTACGTTGCGATGACTGGTTGACTGACTGGAATCTCCGTGATTTCATTGGGTGATTGAGGTACAGTAAACAAAAGTACTGTTGATTTTTTTAAATTGGGGTTTTCCCGATGTTTGCACGAGTATGGAATCATGGTAAGGACTTCACGTGATGATTCACATTTGAGGCAACGTCTCTTTTTAGGAAATGCGATTTAAGAAAAGATGCCATGGATCTCACCACATATTTCCCTGTTTTTTGATGTTGTGCTTATCTTTAACGTGGAACTCCTTTCCAGTTTTCCCATTTAATATATTTTTGTGGGGGATTGATGGGAGCTATACGTGCAGAAAAAGTAGCCATGTAGGCTATCTTAAAGGAACATGGAGATTCTTTTTGAGAGGGGCTTTGAAGTTATTAAAGTAGGTTGAGTTATTGACTAAAGGCTCTTCTATTAATAGTAATCTAAATAATAAAGGCTGGAACTCCTTTATGTCACCATTTTTTAAAAAATGTTCATGATTAGAAAGCGACCATGGTCACTTGCCTGCATTTGCAGGGTATTCTGTCTTCTGGGTTTGTTTATTGAGTTCATGCGTGCCTACTGTTGACTCGATTTGTTTAATCTAAAGAAATATTGTAATGTGCAGTTGAATAATTATATAAAAGAGCTCGTTTTGTTTTATAGGCTGCCTTTTTGTTTGATCTTTTGAACCCCTTGCGCTTTTGTTGTTTAATTCTTTGTGAGAATTTTGATTCCGTCCAAACATGATATCATTTCAGAGACTTGGTTCATCTCCAAAGTTGTGCATTAAAACTTTAAAGATAAACCTTCAAGCAAATTTTTCGAGCATGTATCTTAGAATTAAATTCACTATCTTAGAATACTATCATCAAGACTTGTAGTCCAAATGATCATATAATGTGCAAACACATGAATTTCTCTGATAATGTGTCTGTAATACATTTCAGACGGTGATTTGGATATCTTCAATCATTCTTGCCATTTTTCTGCCCCAAGATGGAATCTGTTAAATCCTCCAATCTGACTCCATGTAGTAAGAGTAGATTGGCACGTGCTTTTACCAAAGTACTTCACATCCGAGCTCTAACTGGGATAAGTCCCGTTCCTGGAATTCAGAAAGTTAAACCACAAGAAAGGATCAGTGATGATTGCACAGCAAGTAGAAGTACGGGTAGTCAATCTGAGTCTTTTGATAGTGGTGAAGAAGAGTTTCAGAACAGAGTCCAATTGCAAGCATTGGTTGCAAAATTGTTTGCTAGCATCTCATCAGTCAAAGCTGCATATGCCAAGTTACAGTATGCTCAATCCCCTTATGATGCAGAAGGCATTCAAGGCGCTGATCACTGTATTGTCTCAGAATTGAAAGTGTTGTCTGAATTGAAACAGTGTTACCTTAAAAAACAGTTTGATCCTTCACCAGAAACCACAATGCTCTTAGCTGAAATTCAGGAGCTAAAGAGTCTTGTGGGAACATATGGCATAATGGGGAAAAGTTTGGAATCGCAAGCAATACTGAAAGGTTCTGAAATCGTGTCTCTTAGAGAGAAGATTGAGGAAATTAAAAAACAGAATAGGTTGATCGAGAAGCGTTTAGATCGAAGTGGGCTGGATTCTGTCACCGGTGATAACTTATCAGGAGTCAACACTAGCCATTTCATTAAAGTTCTTGGACATACAATTAAGTCGGTTGGAAGTTTTGTCCGAATGATGGTGGATGAAATGAAATCTTCTGGTTGGGATGTTCATGCAGCTGCGACGGAAATTGAACCCGATGCTGTTTATTGGCATGATAATCATAGGCGCTTTGCATTCGAGACATGTGTTTTCAGGGAAATGTTCGATTCCTTCCATAAACTCGACTTTGCCCTTCCAAATGAATCCTTGCCGGAAGAAAGGAAACAGAAGCAGTTTTTCCTTGCAAGATTTATGGAGATGAAGCTTAGGAAAGCAAAGGATTTCCTTTCACAGAATCCTAAATCAACCTTTGCCAAGTTTTGTCGAGTTAAGTACTTGAGGCTCATTCACCCCAAGATGGAATCATCATTATTCGGTAATTTGGACCAGAGAGGCCTAATCAGCTCTGGTCAATTCCCCGACACAACCTTCTTTAGCACATTTGCAGAAATGGCAAGATGGGTGTGGCTCCTGCATTCATTAGCTTACTCCATTGAACCGGAGGCCTCCATCTTTCAAGTAAGGAAGGGATGCCGATTCTCAGAGGTCTACATGGAAAGTGTCATTGATGAAGTGTACCTTTCACCTAATGCCGACCCAGTTGTGGCACTTACTGTCATTCCTGGCTTCATAATTGGTAAAACTATAATCCAATGCCGGGTCTATCTCTCACAGTAATTTATTATTTATGGGTATCAACCTATAATTCATAGTATTGGCCCCTTCACCAACTCAAAGATCAAGCTGTTTAATAATTTATAATGTCTCGAATTTGGACAAGTTGCTGCACATACTGTGACGGAGGGACAAAACATCCTATCTCGGCAAGGCAATCCAAACGAGTAAGTGCAATTTTCGAGCCATTTTGAAGAGAAACCGCGTGGACTGAAGTGTTTTAGATTAGTTGTCATATTTATCTTGACTGAAAACCATCCCATCAAGTTTTGTTAATATCATATTAGGTCGGTGACAGAGGGTTGGTCTAGCTGTCGTCCAACACAACCAGACATCATTGCATGTACATATAAATAGCAATAAGTATTATATAATTACATGTATAGTTAGATCGATGGGCATGAGACAAATATCTCATTTTTTACATTACATCTCTTCTCTCGTAGTCTAATTATTCGAGCCCTTGGATTCTCTGGTAAGCTGCAACATATTGCCAAAATTCTGTGTTTATGTACGTATCTCTTTGTTTTGATATTGCTAGTGGGATGCTTTGCTTTCCCAGTTCCAAGAATCTTTAATAGCATGTAGTGGTTTGTTTTCAAATGTTTTCTTCAGTGTATGTAGGAAACTGTGATGGGTGCTCTGTAGCTTTATTGGATTGCACAAATGTTTTCTTGAGCTGTTTCCACGATATTATAAGATTCTTATGGCCCCACATATGATACTCCTGCCGCTGATTTTAATAGGGTCGGTGATGTTGGGCCATGTGACTGCATAGGGCCCCTTTGCACATTCTTTGTTTTCTATACAAAAGGAAGAACGGCATTGTTTGTGATGGGTACGCATCCTTTGATTCTTTGTTCTTCTTATATTTAATGCTGAAATGTTTGATTTAATGTCCTCTTGGGACAATTTGATCAGTCTACCTTCTCAGTTGTGAGAACAAATGCATGTTCGATGTTGTATACTATATATTATATGATTTGATATGCGTGGAACTAGTTACTCTTTTGCCTTTTCAATCGAATCAACATGAATATAAGATTTCCGTCTCTTTCAAATAGGGTTAGAAGAACGTCGGATTTAGGTTTCTCTCGTAACTCAAATCGTGGGCATGCGAAATGTATGCCTTCATAGGTTTGACTTGACTCGACTTAGCTTGGACTAAGGTGAAGTTTTGATCTTCATGGCCCAGTAGCCTCTCTTTATACGAGTTTTGTACAAATTTTTGTTTGACTCATAGGTGTATAACTCCTTAAAATTTCACTAATATGATGCAATTAGATATGTACCTTCTACCATTAACCAAAACTTAAAGTTTATTAATTAACGATTATGAGTTTAAATTTCCACTATAAAAAATAAAAATTAAAAAGTTAGAAACAAACAAAATAATTTTTAAAGCAAAGCAAATCAACTCTATTATTTGGATATTACATATATAAAAACCACAAGAACAAGAAATTACAACAAACCAGACAATTTAGCATATCATATGATCTCTAACTGCTTTATTTAATTTAACTTCAAAAAAAAAAAAAAACATTTTATTTCATGTGACGCTACCTTTACTATTACCAACATGCTAAGGTATTAATTTTAGGTCTCTAATTTTTAATGCCGTCATGGTCGTGATCGTGGTCGTCATCATCGTGATCATGGTCATGGTCGTGGTCATGGTCGTCATCATCGTGATCATGGTCATGGTCGTGCTGTTCATGGTGATCATCCAAGCTATTGACATCAGCGTCGTGATCGTGATCATGGTCATGATCATCGTGGTCATGATCGTCATGGTCATCCTTGTCATGATCATTATGGTCATGATCGTCGTGGTCATCCTTGTCATGATCATTATGGTCATGATCGTCGTGGTCATCATGGTCATGATCGTCGTGGTCATCATGGTCATGTTTGTCGTGGTCATGATCATCTTCATGGTCATGATCATGGCCATCATAGTGGTATCCAAGGCCGTGGTCGTGATCATCATCATGGTCATCACTCTTTACAACACTTTTCTTTTCCTCTACATGAATGAAAAACAGAGTTGAAATAATATCAAATAAATTACTCCTCAATTTAAAAACTTAACTATATAAACTTAAAATATGATATAGATTAACCTCGTTCCAAAACATAAAAATCCATCTAAAATTCAAATAACAACAAACTTAAATTTACAATCCAATCCTCTAATACCACACTAAATAATCCACATAAACTACAAAACTATATACAAAAACAAATTTGTCCTTTTCGAAATATTCTCAACAAATAACGAAAAAGAGAGCGCTCAGCTTCGAGCATAAACTAACCAAGTAAACGAGCCGAGACATGAGAGGAGACGTAAAGAAGAGCGAGGAGGAGGCTGAGAAGGAGAAAGGTTTTAGAGTAAGCCATTTATGCCTTGTTTGTTAATACTTTGGTGCTTCAATATTGCATTATGAGTGATAATTTATAGAAGGGTGGAGGCTGTGTTGGGTGATGTATGGGCTTTGGGGTTAGTCAAAAAGTAAGTATTTTGGTTGAAAAAAACCCACAAAAAATAAATGAACATATCTTGTGATGATCCAAAACCAACCCCATTTTTGACCTTTAATTACAACACATCGTTTAAATTCAATCTTGTTCTTGACCTTTAATTATTTTTAAATTGTTTCATTTAAGATTTCATCTTTGATTACTTCAAAATGTTTGAAATTTCTTCATATTTGTTCATGTTTTCATCACCTTTGGAATTTGGTCAAATGCCTGGTTTGAAATGTTGATTTTTGACCTAATCTTAAAAGCATCAACCATTAATGTCAAATGTTGAAGAAAAAAGTAAACTTTAAATTTGTTATGGGCTGACCCAAGATTGGTAAAACAGGCTCGAGCCCATCAAACGTGTTGGGTTGGATCGAAAATGACACGAAATGGACACACGTTCGAAACGTTTGAGACATAGTAAGTACTGGGTTCTTCTCTTATAGGTTTGTAAGTAGTTGTTTAGTGTCACAATCACTTTTTCAAGACAGCTTTTAGTGCGAGTGTGATTGTACGACACTCACTCTTGTCCTTAATAAGTTAGCCAACTAAAAATTGGATCGCCATTGACCTGTATAATATTTGCCCAAACCTCTGATTCTAACCCTCTTGGAAAGCGATTTTAGACAATAAACAACAAACAGTATTGATAGCATATAACCCGAAAATGAAGAATTGAAAACAAACGAAGATGATTTGTAATGGGTATGTGGGTATAGACAATATGTCCAAACATGACCATGACACCGAGCATCCAACACCAAAAAAATTAAATATTATTTTATTTCTTGAATTTTAAAACTTCTCCCGATTTTGGTACCACTTTTGTCTCTCCAATATTTTAACTTCTAATTGTAACGATCCATTTCTAGGATTTGGATCAAAATTTGAAAGTCAGATTCGACATCTAATGGCCCCGACATTCTTCTACGATATGGTCAAATTGTCTAATTCTCGCTACTTCTCAGAGTGAAGACTATACTCACGTAGTACTAAATAATAATTAAAAAAAATTATCGAATAAATCAACCAATCATTCTGGTTTAAAATGACACAAAATTTACTAAATAAAATATTATATTAAATGGTAAATTGACCAATAATAAGTAATAGTTATTAATACATGAAACCCTATTTTTCAAGGAGTTTCACATTTATATTTAATATTTTATTTATTAAATTAAAATAAGTACTTTTAAATTATTTGCATCGATATAGTTTATGGCATTATCGTGAGCTTTTCCTTTATACTATCGACTTCAAATAAATAAAATTAAAATTAAGAGTTCTATATATTAAAACGATCAAATACAAACAACCTTTTATTGTCCCGATATAGACAACGACAAACTAATAGGATCCCACATTCATGTGTGTATAACAATAATCCAAGTTCAAACTATTAAAACATTCATAAAATCCAACCCGATAGAACAAGAAAAGGAAAAGCTAATAATATAATCTTGGCATACACCAAGGTTTAGTCGCCACCGCCGCTGAAGGGAGCGGGATTTTCCCGGTTGCTCGGGGCAGAGGGCGGTATGGGGCCTCTTGGAAGAGAGCCGAGTAGCATGTCGAAGTTGACAACGCCCATTGAAGGCAGCTTGGTGTCCTTGTGGTACAAGCTCCTGATTGCTAAGGTGGTGTGAGGTTGGCAGAGCAGGAAGGCCAGCAACAGGCATGCCGCCATCGTGAACTTTTTGGTGCACATCGGAGTTGGGTAGGTAATGACTTGGAAAGGGACAGGGTTTGTAATGTTTGTAGTAGTAGTTGATGATAGTTTGAGAAGTTGGTGTGTGGTTTGTGGGGTATTTATAGTGAAATTTTTAGTGATAAAAGTGAGAGAGAGAGACGTATGGGTCAAGTAGGAGGTGCTGCTTACGGCTGCTTTAATAACAAAGAGGGCCACTTTGTTTTGTCTCTAGATGCCATTATACTATAAACGATACTTATCTAATATACCAGTTCAAGCCTACCGCTAGTAGATTTTGTCAGCTTTGATTTGTTACATATCATTGTGAGTCTCACGGTTTTAAAACGTGTCTACTAAACTGAGGTTTCCACGCCCTTATAAGGAATGTTTTGTTCTCCTCTCCAATCGATGTGGAATCTCACAATTCATCCCTCTAGGGGACCCAATGTCCTCGTTGGCACATAGGCCAGTGTCTGGTTCTAATACTATTGGTAACAACTCATGCTCATTGCTACCAAATATTGTCCGCTTTGGCTTGTTACATATCGTTGTCAGACTCAAGGTCTTAAAATGCGTCTACTAGGGAGAAGTTTCTACATCCTTATCAGAAATGTTCCGTTCCCCTCTCCAACCGATGTGGGATCTCACAATTCATCTCTTTTGAGAACTTAGCATCCTCGTTGGCTCACCACCCTGCTAGCAAATACTCCGCTTTGGTCTATTACATATCACCATCAGGCTCACGATTTTAAAACGTGTCTACTAGGAAGAAGTTTCTACACCCTTCTAAGAAATGTTTCGTTCATCTCTTCAACCGATGTGAGATCTCACAATTTATCTCTCTTGAGGACCCAACATCCTCGTTAGTACACCGTTCGGTGTTCAACTTTGATACTATTTGTAATAACTGAAGCTCACTGCTAATAAATACTGTTCGTTTTGGCCTGTTACATATCGCTGTCAGACTCACGATTTTAAAACGCATCTACTAGGGAAAAATTTATACACCCTTATAAGAAATGTTTTGTTCCCCTCTCCAACCGATGCGAGATCTCACAATTCATCTCTCTTAGCACACCGCCCGGTGTCTAGCTCTGATATTATTTGTAACAACTCAAAGCCCACTGCTAGCATATATTATCCGCTTTAGCCCGTTACGTATCACTTTCAATATCAGTTTTAAAACGCGTCTACTAAATAGAAGTTTTAACACCCTTCTAAGTAATATTTCGTTTCCTTCCCAACCAACGTAGAATCTCACATATTCCATTTTTATTATATTTCACAAATTAATTTAAACATAGCTCAATTGACTAACACATTTTTGTCTTATCGAACTATAAAAATTGTTAAATTATCATTTTAGTGCTTTAAAGCTCGTAAATTAAAGAAATAACGACCAAAACGACATCTTAATTGAGAAAAGTTATAGCAAATAAGAATTTTTTTAGCTTAGTTGGTTTCATAATTACATTTCCACACATTGAGGGGTGTGGCTTTCCTTTTAGCAATGGCTGCCTAGATACCTATATGCTTACTTTGATACATATAATATATGGTTTGAATTACCACGTGCATTTTTTCCAAATTATTATTTTTAAATATTTGATTTATTATGATATTTTACATTTTTTTAATAGAAATTATATTAAAAAATAGAAATTATCCATTAAATATGTAAAAAAAAAAAAAGAAGAAAACTAGTGGAGGAGGTATCCCATGAATTCCCTTGCAGTAAATTTTTGTAAAAATAAATAAAAAATTTTACGGGGATAAAAAATGAAATAGGAGTAAAAAAACAGGAACACGAAAGACTCTGTAGACATCTTTATGTCGAGCACGCATCAAGGGTGTTTTTTGAGGTTTTCCTTTCGAGCGTCCTCTCAAGGCTTTAAAACGTGTCTCCTGGGGGAAGGTAGTGTTTTGTTCTCTTTCCCAACCAATGTGGGACATCACAATTCACCTCCCCTTCGGGTCCAACGTTTCTTGTTGGCACACTGTCTTGTGCCTACCCCTTTTGGGGAGCGCGTCTATTAGAAGAAGGTTTCTATACTTAGGGTGTTTTATTATCCTCCCCAACCAATGTGGGACGTCACAATCCACTCCCCTTCGAGGCTCAGCAGTCTCGCTAGCACACAGTTTCGTGTCTACCCCTTTGGGGAACAATATCATCACTTTAAAACGCGTTAGTTAGGGAAAGATTTTCATACCTTATAAAGGGTGTATTGTTCTCAAATTTGGGGGAATAACAGAGGGTCTTTATTGGATAGGAATGAATGAGTAAATAATATTTTTAAACAGATGCATGTATATGTTGTCTGTCTCCAAGAATGTTCCTTAAAGAGTATTTTATTATTATTATTTTAATCAATTTTATATTCTAATTATTTAAATCTCAAATTGTCTAATAATTTTGTGGGTTTTCTCATAATCAAATTTAATCATATGTAATTTATTATATCAATGCATAATTAATCAATTAATTAATTATTATAATGAAAGATTAGGTAAATAGCGTGAAAAAGATGTAATCCACGTGGATTATTGGACTTTGTTGTTAATGTAAGTTACCAAGTGGGAGGAGAAACGGGACGATATACTATTTCCATGTCATTGTATATTCTTATGATTACGATCAAAATTTATAAACTATCAACTTAATTATATATGTCTCAATTAGTTAATTAATGTTGGATGAAACTCCCACATCGGCTAATTTAAGGAATAATCATGCGTTTATAATCAAGGAATTCTATCTTCGAATAAGGTCTTTTGAGGGAACTCAAAGCAAAATCATGAGAACTTACACTCAAAATGGATAATATCATATACTATTGTGGAGAGTCGTGTTCATCTAACAATTAAAACATATTATTATTGATCGAGAGGTTAGATGTTCAAATCTTGCTTGGAACAAACAATCCTATGTAAGCTCTCATGCCTGACAGTGAGACTTTCATCATCTAACAATATATATATATGCACGTATGTACATATATTCACACGTTATTTTAGAACGACTTCAAAGACGTCTTGGAGTTGGTCATTTTCATATTCGTATGTACATATATCCCTTTTTTGTAGGTGTGAGGAATTACCAAACTGCGGCACTGAGAAGTCATTTGAAGGGCTCAAAAATTGAAAGGAATCCATTGAACCCTAATTGTCACTTTCATTCAAACCCAATTTCTATGTCCTCCAT